GGCGTTCGTACCCGAGACAAATTGCAATTAAAAGAAAAAACACGCAATTAAGCCGATTCTTTCTAACAGTCTTCGGAGCGGTCCAAGTAATAGCGTTGGGGCGCGCTCTGACCTGTACCGACGATCGCGGCGATCGCTACGACTCGCTACGATCGCCGCGATCGTCGAGGTCGCCACCATCGTCTCTGCTATCGCGAAGTATAAACGCTGCCTAAATCGTTTATTTCACAACTGGCTTAGTCGGTACCCGAGCGAGGGCTTATCGACAGCAGTTCTTTTGACTGGGAGTTGGCACATGAACGAGAAGGGAACAAGGGCAAGCAATCTGAAATTAAAACTAAGGAATGCTTGAAGAAGCTCTCGCCAGCTTCTTTTTTTTGTGACGTCGACATGTAAGTTATTACCTTTTATGGTACCTTCTCAAAGGGTTACTGGCTGGTTATCGGAGCCGCCAAGTTGACGAGGCTTCTTTGTGGGGTAGAGGGTAATGTAACCCGTGGAACATGTCCGGTCAGGCCGTCTGAGGAAGATGATTCAGTGGAAAAGTTATACACTGTTAAATAACAGTCCCACTTAGCACCTTGTGAGGTAAACGATTTAGAGACTAGAAAAAGCTGGAGGTTGTGTTTTCGAGCAGTCTTTTGAAGATACAGGTTGGGAATCGTTCCTGTGTGTGCAAGGTTCACTTTAGTTCATTCTCATGGAAGCACGTTTCATCATATATTTCTTCCTTTTATCTCTTCTTCAGCAAGCGCTTCGTGGCGTATGCCATCTGCGATTTCCCTTCCAACGACCGATTGCTCGTTTCGACACGCTTCAAATGTGGCCTGAAGAAGAAAGACCAATTTGGTACAATGTGGGTGCTTTTGTGTTTTGACCTCATTAAACGATAATACTTTACGCTACGAAGCCTGAATAGTCTTAATTTTCTGCTGCAACTGAATTCTACATTCCAGAAATTCATGAAACAATTCGTAACCATCGGTCCTACTGTGGTTGTGCCTTCTATAGTTGCTAATGATGGTGTCGTGGTTTGGACGCCCCCAGCAACGGTCTGCGAAGTTGCTGTGCGTCGCGGTGAACGGTATTCACCAGACAGTCGAAAAACTTCCACGGGCATTTCAGGATCATGCGTCTCTTACGAGGTACTTCGGTTGAAATTTTATTCACCGGTTCTTCCTCGAATAGCCAAGTGTTTGGCTGCTCTATCGTATAGGAAAAAATGTGAAATAAAATGCTAAACATTGAGAACTAAAGCCTTTTTGATGGCTATCGACTCTCGAACATACTTTTTCTCTTCATTCTCTTACAAGTGAATGTGCACTGACATCAGGGTATGGCACGATGAAAGAAATGAGAAAAGAAATTCCATGATCGACTCTCCATTAATCTCGGCATGATGACAGCGACATGAGAAAAGAAATGTTAGACAACCCTTTCCCCGCTTTCCTGCCTCTGGTGTGATTCCGCTCCCTCATCCTCACTACCCTTTTACCAATTTTTCCAGGTTTCCAAGAATTTTTTTCAATTCCCCGAAGAAACGGGTTCGTGCAGGAAGTCAGGAAGGGAGGGCGTGGAGGGGAGGTGTAGGGACGAACAACACGCATGGAAAGGGAAAAGCCGCGAAAAGTCATCATCTGAAGAGATTCTCTCACAAATTTCTCTCAAAGGCTAAAACACGCACCTTCTCCCTTCATCCTCAGCGACCAAGTACGTAATCCATTTCACCTCGCCCATTTTACTGCATCTTTCATCTCTCCGTTTTTACAGTAAGGTATCCCAACCAGACATCAATTCTTCCCCATAGAGACAATCGAGAATCGAGATAGGATCTTGTTTGGGCACTGTGCGATTGCGGAATTGTGCCTATCAATTTTTAGTCGAGACTTAGTAATACTAACTTCAAAAAAGTATATGGCGAAATAACTTTTCCCGCTTAGATTGCTGACAGTGATAGAACTGTACATTATTGTAAAGATCATTTCTATTATGTTAAGGTTGACGTCAGCTTTTCTCGTGAAAACAGCCACATGGAAACGGGTGCTACAGCTCTGCCAGTTTCCTATCACAATGTGAGATTTTTCCCAACTTTTTTTTTACTCTTAATGAACGACCTTGAAAAAATGGTTTCTCGAAAATAATCTTTCCAGGAGTCGGAACGTGCTGGTTTCTTCTTTCCTTTTGAATTTCGAATGGCAGAACCGAAACAGCAACTGTCTGTCACCAGCGATATCGTCATATGCGAAGACGGTACTTCACAAGTGGCTGTGAATGTGAAGAACGAACCAGGCGTATCAAAACGTGCAATGGATAATGAGAAATCACTTGGGAAGCGTTCCCATTCTGAAGAGTCGTCAGGAACAGATGGCCTTTCTCTTGACAATCCAGAGGACCTACGTCCTGCGAATCTACCATGTCCGATTGAGAATCCATCCCTTCCATCTCCACATGAGATCCCTGCTGCTGCTGCTGCTGCTGAATCAGAAACGGAGTTCAGTGTGTACGAACCAGGCGTGGGGTTTCACGCGTTGCCTCTTTCACAGCCGGAAGAACTTCAACTGCCGAAATCGGAGTTTTCTGTAGATATAGAACTGGAAGAGGTAAGATATTAGACCCAACTGGTTTTTAAGGTTCGATTTTGACGCACAGTTACATACTGATTTCTATTTTATTTGCAGGGTGAAATCATCAGTCCCGAGAATTCCTGTGGTGGTCTTGCTGCAAGCGTACACGCGAAGTCTTCTTCGAGTCATCGTGGGAATTTTGACCACTCCGATGCGCATGTGAAACGGTCGAGACCTCGAGCAATGTCGAAATCTCCCTCACCGAAACGAAAACGGCGAACCTGTCCTCCAAGAACAACTTGTGCAAGCGATGCACGATCCTGCAATGAGCGAATTTCATCGAAAGGAAGAAGTAGCTCTTCGAGAAATCGTGACCGTCGAGCGGAGGCGAATCATTCAGCGAGAGATCGTAGATCGCGCCCTGGGTCTGATAGGAACCCTGATCAAACTTCAGCGCGCAAAAGAAGGGCGGAAACAACGAGTCGTACCAAACGGGATACGGTTAACAGGTCGAGGAGAAGGGTTCCTGGACCAGTTGTAAACCTCTCTGAAGCAAAGTCTCCGAGGCGCTTGAAGCGTCAGGGAAAGGTTGAGGTTGAGCAAAGAGCTAGTCGTCAAGGAGCTAGTCGAAGGTCTAGTAGGAACAGAAGCGCTTCTAGAGAAGACGAGAAAGGGGAGAGTGCCGCCGTTGAAGGGGATAGTGTCACAATAACTTCATGTACACTGCTCGAGACAGTGTCTGCTCCGGAGGAATCTGCCACTGTGTCTTGCGATTTGAATTCCGGAAAACGTGATGTCATTTTGGAACAGCTGAGTGTTGAAGTCGATCCGCAAGCAACGATGGTCACGGAAGAACGCGAACGAACCCCAGAAGGCGTTGATCCTGATGCGGATGGCGAACACTGTACTCTTGAGGTAGGTCTATGCTAGCAGTGTTTTCCTCTTTGCTCAATAGTTCAATTCAATTTTGGTGAAACAGCCTGAAGAAAGGAACCACGTTGACAGCAGTGGCGGCGGGAAAGCGCCGTGTGGGACAGTTGCGTTTTTTACTTCACTCGTGTCCGCTGTGTGCCACCGGTGTTATAACCGCTGTGAGCCATCGGTGGCTCATAATGTTCCTCGTGAACCACTTTTTTGGTGCTCTGCAGAGTGGTGGAAAATGAATTTGGCAATCTTGCTAAGGGTGCCATTTCTACCCCTCGGTCATATTTAACGGCACCGCAAGCCGGGCCCCCACAACCCCTCTAGTTTTTCGGCGCGATGGCTTTTTTTTTTCTTCATTTTAGCTTTTTACACTTATGCATTAAACTCTAGACTACATGTGCTACATACCGCCTCCGCCCGCTCTTTCACGGGTTTGTCATCCATCGCTTATACAGGGGGGCCAAAAAAAGTCATTCCGGCCGAGTCACATATGAGCGAAGTTTTCGCAGCCCAGACAGAGGAAGTGGATATGAGTACCAGCGGAAGATACCCAAGATCTTCCTCTATAAGCAGGAGCCGGCTGCCGCCATTCACCTTCATGTACACCAAAATATGAAGTCATCTCCAGTCGCGGCCTGAGTGGAGAACGCCTTTGGAATTCACGTGGCCTCCAAACAGCTGCGGAACTTCTTGAATGGAATCACCCATGGATAGCTACCTGGAGACCAGTACTCTTGATCTGCAAGACCTCAAACATCGAGCAGCTCCGGCAACGTCGCTACGGTCCAGGACATCATCTTCACCCCATTCACCAAGGCGCGGGTTGATGGTGTGGACCGGCCGTACCTGGAATGGATGAACCGATATTTTCTTCGTGGGCCCCAGACTGAGGGTGTGCGCTGGTGGCTACATCGAGCAACTCGAGGAGAATATCCCATCTTCATGTCGTCGCCCGTACCTTCTTGGAAACTTTGTACTGCTACAGGATTGGGTGACAACACATTTAATCGAAGGGCGTTGGAAAAACTTTCGCCTACTTGGAATGGAAGAACGTTGAGTACCTGGAAAAGATGGAGTATTTAAGCGGGGGTCCTGAACTAAACCCCCTCAATTACTCGGTTCGGGCGGAGCTCAACAGGGTGGTCTACAGTGGCGGAGAAATCAACGATCTCGCTCAACTCCGGTACCCACTCACTTTCGCGCGGCCGAATCTCTCGATGGCGCTCCTCCAGAAGGCTGTGGCGGAGTATCATTATAGTATTTAATGTGCTCTTTAATATGGTAGTAAAAATGTCCGATAAAAATTTAATAAAGTGTAACTTATAGCGCCTTGAAAGTCATGGAGGCAAAATGACTTTTTTTTGCCCCCCCCCCCTGTAGATTTACCACTTTTTCCAAGTTTCCAAATCCACTCTTCATATATTAGATGTATCCACAGACATACACCTACACACTGGTACACCGGTACATCAAGCTGTCCCTTTTAACCTCGCCCACATCGGAGCGATTTTTGCGACTTTTGGTAAAATTTTAATTTTCCATTGTTTACCTTTTTAGGGCACAGCTGAAAAGTGCTTATCCCGATGGTACAGAGTCCCATTCGTCGCTCAGAATTCACCAGACATGAAACGAGCTTGTCTTGAGGGATTTTAGAGTAGCTCTAGTTACTGAAAGATCCCAATTTTGAAGCTAAAATTTCCCATGAAAACCACAACATTTTTCCATTATCCCTGTTTGGACATTCTTCTTCCACGAACGATTAGAGCAAAAAAACTTCAATAGAAACCAACGGCAACAAACCGTTGCGCAAAAGTTATGAGCCACCGGTGACATATTGTCTCACGCGGCCACTCCCTTAAGAGCCACCAATAGCTCATAATGTCGTCAACGTGCTAAAAGGTCTTCCTACTCAGCTACCACTTTTTTTAAAACAGATTTCTAAGCGTTTTGTTGTTTATTGCTGTTTTTATATTGAGTTTTAGTCGCTCTCTAGTGCTTGGAAAGACAGCGACTTCGTCTACGAGGATTACGATCTTCTCACTCCACGACATCGCGAAATGGCTTCAATGGAATTTAATGTTGGTTTGTTTTAGTTTCGAAGAAGATATCTGAATCTTTCGGTAGATCATACCCTCTTAATGCATCTCACCGCGTACTACTCGTGCTCGGTCAACCGGCTGGCCATTTGACCTAGAGCCAATACCAGCGGTCTCTTGAGGCTCAATTGGAAGTCTTTGAGGAATCATTAATTAGTTCGTTTCTCAAAGCGGTGGCTTATTTGCAGTAGGTATACAGTCGTTTCCGCTGAAAGAGCTGGGGCGTTAGGAGACCTAGAATTGAGACGACGAATTGAACGGCGCCAGCCCATTTTCCACCAGTTGTTGAAATGGGCAAATGACAGCAGTTTATGGAAGGGAGTGGTAGTCCGCCAAAACCAGCCTTCTCCATGGCGTGGCAGCGAAAATGACTATATGTATGCTGAATTATTATATCCATTTCTGTCGATGCTCTGGACCACTTCGCTCGTCACTGTGAATGCATTTACTTCTGAATTATTATAACCTGTCAACTACTATGCTGGTTACTCTCATAACCGAGTTCAGTACGTTTTCTTCATAGCGCTTTTATAGTCTCCATTTATACCGAAGACACCGACGTTCAATACCCCCTCGGACTACTCTCCGCTTGGGACTGTATCTCAGCTAAGCCGCTCAAGTCCAGGATCAGACGTAAGTTTATGATGGAATTTTTCCAATCATTCATATACTGCATAGCAATTGAAGAATGGTTCCCAGTAGAAATTGTTGGCAAGACCTCACTATTGCGATTTGGTTTCCAGTTAGGAGTGCCCGTTACACCACGTGATGACGCCCGAACAAGAAGTCCAACACTTCTGCGAGCACCGTCAGCAATAAGCAGAGCGTTATTTGCGAAAATTGAGGTAATCTTTGCTACATAATCAGACGGAATCTCGAAAATGTTCACTTTTATGAGAACAATGCAGCTCACTCCTATTTTTCTTTCTGCTGTTTTTGTTATTT